ACAAGATTCTACTGTTTAAAGAAAATGAATCAAACTGCCTTATTCTCATTCATCTCGAAGGACGCCGCGTTATTATCTCAGGCTTGTTCGGCAAACTTTTGAAGAGCTTCTCATCCTTCAACGAGGCTTTTTAAATGGAACATGTCTATGTCAAATGACGTCGATTGATGAATTCATTAAACACGGAAAACGCATTGTAATTTTCCAGCAACGAAGAAATCGTCATGCCTGCTGAGCATTCGGGAATTTTGCGGGAAAATTACGAATGGAAGGTGCTGCTTCGTCGTGGGGAAACATCAGAGGGCACGTACACGCATGCGATGGCCGGTGTGTTTGACCACGACTTGTTCTCGCTAGTTTGGGGCCCAGTAGTGGCTGCACTGAGCTACGCCTTTCACCGATCCGTGCAACCCCAGCTGGTGAAGAAGGCAGTGCGGGGATTTCGGAAATGTGCCATGATTGCGGGCCACTATGGAATGAGTGACGTGTTCGACAACTTGAAAGGCTGAGTACTTGTGTACCTACTTCATTTCTAAACCTTTGTCAGTCACCAGCCTGACATCCTTGAATCTTCTTATCCAGGAAATAATTTACCTGTGTTTTTATGTGTACATTGCCCATAATACATGGGTAGCAGTCACCCATTTTTAGAAATGGGTACTGGGTTGAAAAAATATGGGTGATCACCTGTGAAAGTACCTGACCTGTGTTGGAATACGGGTGTTTTCATGGTTGAATGTGCAGAACAGGCTTGACAAAAATCACAAAAAATCCAAAATGAATGACACACCTCACATGACAAACTAGCAAGACTTGGCAGTATTTTCATCCAAATCTTTGAATTCTTCAAGGTCATAATCAATTTTGTTTGGCCTTCCATGTCACTCGATCACAATGCTCTCATCTTCTGTGTTGCCAACCTAAACTGCTTTTCGGGTCATTGTAGAGGTACGGCACCTTGAAATGCCAATTTGGCCAAGTTTTCTTTGTCAATTTTCTTGATTTAATCTCTGAAAAATAAAAGAAAAAATAATTTCATTTTCATCCTGAGAATTTTTTTAAAGTCCATTTTTCTAATTTTTTGAAGACATTCCACTAAAGCTGCTTTTATTTTTTCTCAACTTGATTTTTAAAAGCAGAAACTTTTAAAATACCTGCCATGAATAAGTCTTTTGGAACAGAACATTGTTGAGTTGGCAAACAATTCATGAAACCTTACCAATCTACAGAAATTTTTTTGAGTATTTGCAGGTCTGCGTGAAAATTTATGGAAAGTTTCCAATCCATGGGCTCAAAAAGTTTAGGGAACAACTGGTCTATATGCAATGGTTGGAATTGGGCAGTTAGTTTTCCTCCGTTTCTTATTGGTTTGCAGCACAAGCATCAGCCACTGAAAGATAATGCACGTCACTCATCACTGTTCAACTCTACAGTATTTTTGTTAGTTGATTGTGATCTACTGTGGATCGAAAAATAATGTGTACCTCAGTAAGAGGAACAATTTTGACCCGGAGTGCCCACAGCAGTCGTATGTGCCAAAGGCGAACGACCTCTACCCACCCTTAGGGAATTTAGAGCAGGGAAACAACAATTGGGAACACTTCTTTATCCTGCATCCATCACATGAACAAGAGCCCCCTGTGGACAGGCTCGTCACGAACACTCAATCACCAACAAACATGTCCAGAAAAAAAAGATAGGTATATACACAGTAATGGGTGCCACATCATCATCATCATGGTCATTATTATCAACTTTGCCCTGAAAAACCAGTTCAATGGGTCACAGGGCTTTTTTTTTTTTTCTTCTTAGGAAGGAAGAATTAGGAGCGAATATCCCGCGGCTGTGCGGAGGAGTACAAGGCACGCGCAGAGGCCAAGCCCACATATGGCGTATGTGTGCTGGAAGAAGAGAGCCTCCAGTTCCATGTTCAGACTAGAGCTGAAAGCATCTCCTTTTTTACCCTGTGAAAATAATATTTGTAAGAAGGAGAGTTTTTCATTTGCTGTGCGAAATTATTCCTTTTAAAAAGAGAATTTTTCATTTGCTGAATTTCATGGCTTAATTGGCACAATAAAGCGAAACTTGGTTTTAGCATCTTTGCCAGGGTGTGTTTATACAAAGTACATGCAAACCTGAATTACCAATGAGAACCAGGATGAACTGTGTTGAACACCAAGTGATCACTTTAATGATTCATGCAAAAAACCTATATGCAAATTTGGCTCTGGTGAAAAGTGTATTTTTCTTTCCTGCTTTTTCGGTTTTTTACATAATGGTGTTCAATAAATGGTTGGAAGAGATCATTGCATAGGTGGGTATTTCGGCAATGAATGTTATATCAAGAGCGTTGCTCTGCTTGGAACTCATCGCAATAATTCTCGGAGAAGGTAAGCAAAATAAATCTTTAAAAAATGACAGCCAATTTGTGGTTTGGGATCCATAAACGCGTCATATTTTGAATCTGGCGTTCCAAAAATTGCCTTTCATTACTTCCAATTTGAATGTTGGTCTGATTTGTGGAAATTTTCCTCATGTAACACTGTGGCACACAGGCCACAAGGGAGAAAAATTAGGAAGCGATTTTTTGGCTATATAAATCTTGATAAAACACATGATCTGCTGGGGAACAGAGCTGGGGGTTCTTTGGTAATAACGCCAAAGAAAAATATAGATTTCTTCTTTGGAATAAAAGGATGTTGATAGTTGCAAGATATAATGAACAAGATAATATTGATAGGTTAGAAAATCTCCGAAACACGAGGCAGAAATCTTTGAAAAGTGACTGTGATTGCAAGACAACTGTGCTGGAAAAATTGCAGATTGATAGTGATCAGTAAAATAGGAAGACATGGTGTGGGGGGTATCAAGGGTGGTTTCAAGAAACGAAGAATTGCGCAATGGGAAATTTTGTGTAATTTCCTGTTGTGTGGGGATTTTCTGTTCATATAATTTTCATGCTAGAATGTTGAAATACAAGATTTTCATATGCGCAACCTCAGTTTACCCTTGATGCTGAATGTAGTTTTTCTTTGCTTGGACATCTAAATGCATTATAAATACTGTAATTCTTTCTTGGGGTTTGAGTTGGTGTCTTATTGGGACTTTTTGTATGAAACTGAATTGGGTCCATGTACTCTTTTGAATTAATTTTCATTGCCTGGGTTGCCATTAAAATTTTCAAATTCAAAATGTATTGTTTTGCAGTAGTTTTTCATAAATGCTGAAGAATTTTGCCCATCATAGTCTATAAAATTTCCTGTTCTATATCATTTAAGTTCTTCCTTTCAGAGATTTTTAATCTCCTCTACTTTTAGTCCTAATGCTTTTAGCTTATTTGTTTTGGTTGGTGTTTCTTTTTTGGAAACTGTTGATTGTGTTATGTTGTGTATAAACAAATGTCTTATAAAAAAATTGTGTTTGGGTGATATGTTGTAATTCCACTAATGGAGGAGATTTCCGTATTGGTACTTGCATCAATATTTATAATTATAAAGTTTAGTTACTTTATACCCATTATTGTGCAGGGTGTAGGGCAAAGTCTGCTCACATTTTTTATAAGATATTTGATCCATGATATTGATATACAGTCAACCCCCAGTTTCGTGCCACCATCCATCCCAGGGCATTTTGTGGCTCTGATCAAGGATGGCCCAGAATCTGGGGAATAATAAAAAAAAACTCCTGGAGAATTTGCTGTAATGGCAAAAATTAAGCACAAGATGTCATTTGAAAGAGTTCCCTGTTCAAAATTTTTTATGGTGGTGTTCTCAAGTTGTTAACTGTTTTATAAACACTGTTGGAGGGTGATTTTGCTTTTATGCGGCCCACTAATTTCTGGTGTTTGAAACAGTTGACCCCTGGATGACAAGGGGCTTGGCAAGTTTAAGAAGTAGACAGATGTGCAGGGTATGGTTTCTGTCTCCAATTACCAGGTCCCAATAGCAGGTGGGTAATTGAGCAGAGGTCCTGTAGGATGCCTATCCGGCACAACAAGTAAACCACAGCGGCGCTCAAAGAGTGTTGCTTTATAAGAAATGACCTTTGCGAACTGGAGTTCAATAATTTACAAGAACATCCAAGTTTATTTAAATGTCCAAGTCAAATTTTGTAGCAATGTTATCAACCAAGTCACGGGTCTGCCTGTTCACGTAAAAAATATGGCAGTAAAAACATCATCAGTACAGTACAAAACTGCCATGTAAAAAACAAATAACCAACAATTCAATACAAGACATAAATCACTACAACACAAGTCAAGCTCTCTCAAGGGGACAGAAGTTTTCTAAGTCTGAACGCAAGTACCAAAATAAAATATGGCAAGAGATCTGCACTCTACTAGGTGGTGCACAAGAATGAAATAATTTTGTACTGTATAACAAAACCCCAACATTGCCCCAAAGGAATTGCGCAACCAAAGTTTGTCCTCGGTAACTTTTTCAAGGAAAATTTCTGCAAATCATCCCTCAAGGCCTGAGAAGCCTTCCCACATTCCATTCCCACTTTCATCTTTGGAAGACGCCCTATTTAGTCATGCCAAGTTAAATTCTGCATGCCGGATATTTCCAGGATTAATCACTGTACAGGCACATGCATCATTCATCAGAAAGATGGCAACCTAAACTGCCAATTTTAATAACTCATAAATGCATCATAAAAAAGTTCCCCTATGAATTTCATGCTTGTACTGCTAAACATTTTCAAATGGCAGTAAGACTATCCTTTTTTAACACAGCAACAAAGTATGAAGGTATATATAACCCATAGGTAAGCAAATACAAATTTCATGTACTTTGAAAGACTTTTAGCTTAAATTCATTCATGGTCCCAATTAATCCAATCAGATAACAATAAAGAGACAAATGTACAAACTCCACTTACACTTTACAATCCATAACTCTAGGCTAAAAAATCCCTCCTAATTCAATTCATAAATGTGAGAGTCCTGTGGTGGGTGCCAGCATCACTGGTAATTCTAGCCAATTTTAATGTATCCAGGGCCAGTTCCAGCAAAAATTGTTGGATCCCTTCCATTCAGGGCATCCTACCATGAGTATAAAACCCAACCCTCTTTGCAGAGGAGTCTGACCTCTAGCCTGACCATGCTGGATAACTGAAGACATGGGCTGCACCACTTTATAACATCTACAAGGCTTATCTCCAGTTATTTTATTCCTAGAACAGAAAGCAAGAGTCCAGCCCTCACATAGAAGACTCATTTTCTTACAGTCATTAAACCACTGCTTCCCATCTACAGGGATCTGATTCATAAAAAGGTAATAAAATGGAGTTATACCTGTGTCCAATTTTGATAATTCAATGAATTCCCAGACAAAAGAATACTGTACATTAAAGAAAAAATGCATACTTATGCTGTTCACATTGAAGAATCAAATTGTATTGTATGATTAAATATCATCCAGCATGATGAGAGCATATAAGAAAACTAATTACCAGAGAGAATTATGCAATTACAGTACTTGCACTAACACTTTTTTGAAATACAGTA